ATACAGACCCGTGGGAGCAAAGGAGGGAGTGGGCACTTCTGCAGGGAGGGGTGGGGCCGAGAAGCTGGACAAAGGAGGTGATGTGTCAGCTGGGCCTGGGAGATGAGTAACTGCTGTTAGAAGGCACGGACGGCATTCCAGGCCACAGGAACAGCACCAGCTGGTCAGGGGACCGAGGAGATTGCTGTGTGGATAGAGTGTTCATCCCAGGGTCGCCAAAGCAAATCCCGAGCCTACGCCTCACTCCCTTTCCACTGCCCCCAGAGAGTCCCCGTCACCTCTCGCTGGACTAACTGGCCTCCTACTCCCTCTCTTGCTAAGCTACACTTCGATTTCACACGGCAGCCAGAGTGATCTCGTAAAAACATAAATCAGATCACGTCCCCTTTCTGCTTCAAACCATCCGGTGACTCTCTACCACACTTGTAATCAAATCCAAATCCCTCAACAGGGTCTACAGACTCGTGATCTGGCCTCTGCCTCCCTCCCGACGTGATTTCATGCTACTCAGCCCTTCACCCACCATGTCCACCCTCACAGACCTTGCTGCTGTTTCTAGAACACGCCCAGCTCATCCCTCCTCTCTGGTCTTTGCCCTGGCTGTCCTCCCAGCCAGGAGCGCTCCTCCCCTTAGTCTTCACCTGTCTGGCACCACCTAGTCATACAGGTTTGCTGCAAACCCTATCGGGTGCCACCCAACCGTTTGTTCTGCTTTCTTTCTTGCTAATATAACTTGAGTTTTGTTCTACGGCCTGTCCATGCCCTGACCCCTGGGAGTGAATCTGGGTTTGTCTAATCCAATTGTGGTAAAACAGAACATTGAAGGGGCTTTTCCTGTGGCCTTGGCCTTTTGACCAAAGACTCAAGCTGAGGACGATAGTTGATAGAGTTGAGCGTTGCCCTACATTCTAAAGAGAGCCCCATGGCCTGGCTGGCGTGGCTCAGTGGTTGAGCGCCAACCTCTGAACCAGGAGGTCACAGTTCGACTCCTGGTCAGGGCACATGCCTGGGTTGTGGGCTCGATCCCCAGTGTGGGGCGTGCAGGAGACAGCCAATGATTCTCTCTCACCACTGATGTTTCTATCTCTCTCTCCCTCTCCCTTCCTCTCTGAAATCAATAATAAATATTTTAAAAAGAGAGAGTGCCCGATGGAGGTGCCAACCCCTTCTCTAGACTCCCAAAGAGCAAAGCTAGTCTCTCACCCCTCCACCCCAACCAGCCTGTACAAAGACAAGACCAGAAATGTGAATTTTCTGGAAGTGGAGAGAAACGGTTGGAGTAGGCAGCCATTGGAGGCGAGTCTGTGAAGAGAACGGGCACTCGCTTCCCCATGTTGAGTGAGAGGCTCCAAGAGAACCCTGTAGAGACTGGTGCTTCGAGAAGGGGAACCTGGTCATCTGTCCGGGGCTAGCCTCCTGCTGAGCTGCAGAACCGGGGCTGCCCAGAGCCCAGAGCCCAGCGCCCAGGGAGCGTTCATGGAGTGAGAGTGGCACGCGCTCCATGGCAGAGAGAGCCGCTGCAAGGTGCCCTACTCTCCCAGTCTGGCAGGGCTCGCAGTGGGCATTTCCTCTGGGACAACAGGCCGTGCTGGAAGGGAGCAGGCCGCCAGTCACCTGTGAGGCTCCCCCTCCGAAAGGGCGCCTGCCTGTGGGAGGCATCACAAGCAGAGGCCGTGGGCCGCCTGCAGGAGCTGTGGGCAGCTTCACCCGAGGTCGGCCAAGTGGAACTGCCCTCAGCAGTGACCTGGGCTCTGCAAGGCCCACTCAGAGCCTCCAAGGAGACAATAAACGTGAGGGCCTGCCACACAGAGGAATTACAACAGTCCCGGTGACCAGACTTTTGTCCCTTTTCCTCTAATTCTTCTAATCCCTGACATCAGAACAACCAGAGGGGAAGAAAGCGGAGAAAAAAGTCAAGGATTGGCCGTGCCCCCTTCTCCACTACAGGACCCCACCAGGGGTCAGGCCTGAGCTGAGCAGGCAGGGTGGGAAGGAGGGAGCGGGCTGGAGCAGGAACTGAGATGGAAATGTTGATATAGTAGAATGAATGGGTCTCTTAAAAATAGTCATAATTACTGAAGCAGGACGAGGGCTTCTAAATGAAAGCAGCCAGAAAGCTAAGGGTCTCCGTGAGAGGTCGTCAGCAACGGAACAGGTTTGAATGCAGTGATTAGAGAAGAGCAGCTTCCTGTTGGTGTCCCATAGAGAGGCGTTCATTCAGCAAGCTGGTGGGGATGCCAGTTCTGTGCTCCTCCCCTGGGACAGGCTTAGAGAGGGCCTGTGCTGCTCAGTGCTGACCAATGAGACGAGAGGGGAGCTGGCTTGGGGGGGGGGGGGCGGTTACAGGAAAGTTCTCCTTGTTCTTAGGGGCATGTACCTCTGTTGCAAGCTTGATCCCCAGCCCCTGGCTGGAGCACATGTGAGAGGCAACCAACTGATGTGTCTCTCTCGCATCAATGTTTCTCTCTCTCTCTCTCTCTCCCCCCCTCCCCCCTTTTCTTCCACTCTCTCTACAAATCAATGGAAAAATATCCTTGGGTGAGGATTAAAAAAAAGAGAGAGATGAAAGGAATCTGGGTCCTTGGTGGGTTTACTAAGCTGCTGAATTATACAAACTCCAAATTCCACTCTAACTTGAAACTTATTATCTATATATGTAAAAGGCTAATATGCAAAGTGTCCCCTCAGGAGTTTGACCAGAGACCAGGAGTTTGCTCGCTGACCACCAGGGGGCGGTGCAGAACAAAGGAAGGCCCTGGTCCACAGCTGGCAGCCACGGAAGGAAGGCCCCAGCCTGCAGCTGGAAGGCCCCAATCGGCCCTGATCCCCAGCCAGGCCTAGGGACCCTATCCATGCACAAATTTCATGCACCGGGCCTCTAGTATGAGATAATAAACTTTTTATTATGGTTAAACCATTTTTAGGTGGGCTTTCTTTTCTCACAGCCCAACAGCTCCTGATATTACAATGTCACCTTCTCTGAGAAACCTTCCCTGACTACTCAAGCTAGGTAGCTCCCCAGCCCCTTTCCATCATATTCCCCTGGTTAACTTTTTTTTTAAAAAAAATATGCGTTTTAAAATTGATTTTAGAGAGAGGGAGGGAGAGAGATAGAGAGAGAGAAACATCAATGAGAGAGAAACATTGATCTGCTGCCTCCTGCACACCCCCTACTGGGGATCGAGTCCGAAACCTGAGGATGTGCCCTAACAGGGAATCCAACCGGTGACCTCTTTTCATGGGTCAACACTCACCCATCGAGCCACACCTGGGCCTGGTGAACTGTTTTTCATACCACTTGTCACTATCAGAAATGCTCTTGCTTATTTCTTGTCCATTTAATGCCTAACTCTCTCCACCAGAATGTAAACTCCGAAACAGCTGCTTGCCAATCTTGTTCATTGCTGAATTCTCAGCAGGTGCACAGTTAGTGCTGAATGAATGACCTGAACTTATCCAGAGGGGCAAGACACAAGGCCAGAGAGGTGAGGAGAGATGGGGCTTAGGAAGGGTCATGGGGTTGGGACTGTAGCATGAGGGTCATGGGGAGTCCTTCCGATTGGGGAGACCCCTAAAGGGAAAGGACTGTGTCTCCTACAGACTGGGGCCTCCTCCCGCTGGGTCTCGCCTCAAAGGCCAAGGCAAGGCTGAGGCCACAGCCTTTGGGTACAGAAGAAACAAGCTCAGGCTCCTTCCTGGGGACCCCGGATGGGGCCGTGTTCCTCAGGTCTCCTGGGTGCCCTGCCCTTGCCCCCGCACTAACCCGCTAGGCCGTACAGTATCATCGTCTTCTGTTCTTCGTAGAGGTTCATAGGGCTCACCAGGAGCTGAAAGAGACCTGAGGGGACAGAGTCAAAACCAAGATCAAAAGATGGGCCGCCCCCTCCCCGCTGCTCCGCACTCACCTATGGCCAGGAGCCCCCCAGCGCCTGCCCCCAGCAGGACAGCGGTGACCGGAAACTCGCCGGGCTGGCGCCACAGGAATCGGCTACAGCAGGTGGGCAGTGCCCAGCTCAGGAGCCTCTGCACCGCTGAGGGGCCAAAGAGTTGAGCCCATCAGAGCCAACACCTGGCTCTTCTGACCAGGATGCGGTTCATTAGAGTAAGGGCTTGTGGGGGGGCCAGAGCAGAGGTTCTCAACCTGTGGGTCGCGACCCCTTTGGAGGTCGAACGACCCTTTCACAGGGGTCGCCTAAGACCATTGGAAAACACATCTATAATTACATATTGTTTTTGTGATTAATCGTTATGCTTTCATTATGTTCAATTTGTAACAATGAAAATACATCCTGCATATCAGATATTTACATGACGATTCATAACCGTAGCAAAATTACAGTTATGAAGTAGCAACGAAAATAATTTTATGGTTGGGGGTCACCACAACATGAGGAACTGTATTAAAGGGGGTCGCGGCATTAGGAAGGTTGAGAACCACTGGGCTGGAGGCTGGGGGAGCCTGGAGGAAGGTGGCAGGGACTGGAGGGGTCCTGAAGGAAGTGGGGCAGACATGAGGGGGGGGAGAAGGAAGGGCTCTCCTGAAGGAGGGGTACTGAATGAGAGGGGTAGGGACCCCAAAGCGCAGGGGAGGGGGTCGTGGAGGAGAGACTGGATGAGAGAATTGGGGGCTGGAGGCGCCAGGAAGGGTGATGCCCGACGACTGACTCACTGGTGTGGGGCTGTCTCCTCCGCTGCCCTTTCGGTCGGTCCTGGTGGACTCTGGTGTCCATGTCCGCTCTGGGGAGCCCTCTCTCACTCAGAGGTCTCCTCAAGGATGCTCTGGGTGTGAGGTTCTGCTCCCGTCTCCTCGGCCTCGCCCACACCTGCCTGAGGTCTGTCTTCCAGTCCCCCCTCTGCCCTGAGACGTGGGGATTAGAGACCCCAACACCCACAGTGACAGCCCCGGAACCTCAGAACACGCGAGGCATTCCGTGACTCCCCCGAGCCACAGAACCTGGTGGGCGTCTCCTGGAGACGGCAGACACTTGGGCTCAGCCGCCATGCCCACAGGCCTGCAGGACGCTGTGCGCCGCGCGGGGGCTGAGGAGCCCAGCCTGGCCCGGGCCGTGGTCCGCAGCCTGGGGGGCTTCAGCCTGGGCCTGTCCTTGGCCACGGTCTATGGACTACTGGAGCTGCTGGTGGAAGGGCAGAGCCCCTGGGGCTGCCTGGTGGGCACGCTGACCTTGGCCGGCTTCCTCGGCCTGGGCATGGCGTTCTCTCGGCAGGTCCGGGTCACTGTCCTCCTGCTGCTGCCCCAGGCCTTCTCCAGTGAGCGTGGCACCGGTGGGAGGGCAGGTCCTGGGACAGGGGCTGGGCCGGGGGACCTTGGGGGGGGGGTGTGGAGGGAAACACTCTGAAGGCTTCTGGGAGGGATTGGATGTGCTGCCACCTGCAAGACTGGGGTCCTGCTTCTGATGGAGCTGCCCCCCCTTCCCCCCCAGAGCAGAGCCGGGCACTGCTGCTGTTGGCTGTCTTTGGGTTGGTGCTGCAAGGGCCTTGTGCCAACACTCTGCGCAACTTCACCCAAGCCAGCGAGGCCGTGGCCTGCGGGGCGGAGCTGGCCCTGAACCAGACGGCTGCATTGCTGGAGCGAGCGAAGCAGCCCCTTGTCAGTAAGGCCTCCAGCCTCAGCCCTCTGCTGGCATTGCCCCACCTCCCTGCGCCAGGAGGCCCCTCATCCGTGCCCTCCGGCTGCTCCACTGCCAGGGCAGCTGCTCCCAGACCCAGGCATCCCGGCTCCCCACCTCCCGGGCAGCCCCTCTCCCCTCCCTTACTCCCTCCCCCTCCCCCAGGGACAGCGTGGGAAAAAGGAGTCCCCAGAGGAAGAGACCCCACAGTGCCCCTGCCCTGCCCCTCAGGTGCCCTGAACAAGATTAAGGCCATTGCCCAGAAGGCCAAAGAGGTGGCTGACCGGATCCGCAAGTTCTTTCGGTCCATCATGGATGGAGTGAAGCATATAGGTCAGCACGTTAGCACGTCTGTTTCTGGGAGGGGGGGGTGGTGTCACAGTTCACCCCGTCTCCTCCGCCTCACCCTTGTCCGGAACCCCGTGGGCCCTTCCTGGGTGCCGACGAGCCCCCAGGGACACACAGCCAGGCCCCTGAGCGCAGGCCTCCCCGCTCTGCGTGCTCTCCTGGGGTTCCCCAAACCCCTGGAAAGACTCTGCAGGCCTCCGGCCCCGGGTACCAGCCCACGGCTGTCCCCAGCCAGGGCCCTGCGCAATGTATGGTACTGGCTCCTGCATATCGGAGACGTGTGCAACTCAGAGCTGGGCAACCCTTACCTGAAGTGTGCGCGGGTCTTCGATGACGCCAAGGACAACTGCATGAAGGTCATCCCGCAGGCCTATCACCTGTGCTACGTGCTCATGCCCTTCAAGCTGGTGCTCTGTGGACTTGCCAGCCGTGAGAGAGCCAGGGGCTCAGGGGCGGGATGGGGGGAGGGGCGCGCCGAGAACTGGGGGCAGGGTCCGTTGGGAGGGCAGGCCCAGGGGACCGGTAGGGGGTGATGACTGTGGGGCCAATAAGGATGCTGGCCCAGCATGGGGTGGAGGGAAGATCGTGAGAAACCAGCGTGGGAGGGTGAGGTGATAGGGAGAAGCCAAAAGGTGTTGAGCCAAAGGTTTTGAGGCCAGTAGGACAAGCAAAAGGTCAAGAGGACCCTGTGAGAACAAGGTCCCCGGAGGCAGGCGAGGCCGGCCGCATCTCTCTGCCCTCCTGACACTCAGCCTCTGGCTCTCAGTGGTCCAGGTGTTCTGCATCATCCCCAAGTACCTGCAGCCCTTCCTGCGCACGACCATCGGCATCCGTGAGCGACCCCTCCGCGCCCTGCCCTCTGTGGCGCTCCTGGGAGCTCCCCCCCCCGCCCCGCCATCCTGGTGAGGCCATCGCCAGCCTGGGACTCGCCCAGCCCCTGGGTGCGAAGGCGAGAGCAGGAAGGGACCTCAGTGGGCTGCCCGGAGCAGTATCTGTGCTGTGCAGATGAGGAAATTGAGGCCCCGCAATGGGGAGGAGCCTCACCAAAGCCTGACTTCCTGTAGAACACGGCTTGTGGGGGCGTGGTCCCTTCCTCAGTCCACGTGGGTGCAGGCCCTGGGGGTCCCGGCTGGTCTGTCTGGCCACTGGGCTGTGCCAGGCCCCTCCCTCCGGTGAGGCTGTGTCTCCCCCTCACTGTCCTTGCTCACCTCTCCCCCGACCGGCGGGCCCCAGCTGTGCAGAAGTTGATTAACCGGGTGCGTCAAGAGTTTGAGTTCAACGTGACAGCCACCCACTACTTCTCCGTGGACCTCGATGCCTCCCGGAGCCTGTCCCAGGTGGCCCTGGACCTCTACGAGGCCGTCAGCATGAAGCTGTACCGCGCCCGCGAGGCCCTGGCCCTGATGGGCTACGCCACGCCTCTGCTGCTTGTGCTTCTCTACCTCCAGTGAGGGGCTGGGGTGGGGGCTGCTGGGGCTAGGTGGTCCCCTGGCATTCTGGGAGGCGGGGGTTCCCGTGTGGGGGTGGTGCCTGTGGGGTCAGATCCGGGGTGCTGAGGACCCTCGCGCCTGCTCCGCCAGGGCCCTGTTTTACCGGTACTGTTACCTGAACCTGGACAGCCATGACAACATCTACATCACCAGCCGGTTCCTGCGCATGGAGGCCGTGCGCTCCCGGGCGGGGCTGCCCACCGTGCTGCCCCTCAGTGCCCACGAGGCCAGACACTATATCCGGCCAGGTGAGCGCCTTGAGGACCAGGGGACGGGGGTCTGAGAAAGGCCAGGGCTTCCCCCAACCCCACGGCCCTGACCTTGAACCCCACGCACAGGCTGGGCTTGGGGCAGGGCCCGAGTGAGGACGGACAACCCAGAGCTTAAGGCAATTTCAGGCTCGGGCGGGGGGGACACCGCCCTGTCCTTGGGGAGCCCTCAGTGTGGAGGGAAAGGAGGGCTCCTCGTAGCGGGCAGACAGAGGAGGGCAGAAGATGCTTCTAGGAGCGCCTGGACATCAGGACAGAGAGGAAGAGGGGTGGAGGGCGGACATGGAGCAAGAAAAGTGAGGGGGGAGGCTTTGGGGGTGGGCAGGAAGTGTGAGTGTGGTAATACGGAGGAGATGCAACTTGGGGCCCTCTGTGATGCAGGGAGTTGAGTATGGGGGTCAGGGGTTCCCCAGGAAGGAGGGTTCCCGGAGACTGGAAATGGGCCATCAGGCCCAGGTACAGCATCCAGGCCTCCGCTCCAGCTCCGGAGCCCTGGCCTGGAAGAGGGCTTCCCCCTCTGCCCAGGGGTCCTCGCAGCGACCACACCTTCCAGATGAGCACACAGGCTCCAGCCCCCTCCAGGGCAGGAGGCCTCCCCAGGAGAGAGGTCCCTCCAGGTCTGGAGACCGTGGGGTGAGGGAGCTGGGGGCAGCCGCCGACCCGTCCTCCCCTCCCCAGGCTCCCTCTACCTGTCCCGGTGGGAGCAGCTTTTTTACCTCCTGGCGATCTCCCACCTTCTCCGGCAACTCCTCATCACACTGCTCCTCATCTTCCTGGACTACGCGGTCTTCTGGGTGCTGGACCTGGCCCGGCACCACCTGCAGGGGGAGATGGTGGCCCGCAGTGAGCGCCTGAACCTCCCCGTCCCCCCTCAGCACCCTCGGCCGGCTCCTGCATCCTCCCCACCATCCTGGGGGTTTGCCTGAGCCCCCCCAACCCCCCACCCCACCCCGTCATCACTGTTACTCACCAGCCTCTGACTTTGCTCCTCTTCCAACTCTACCCTCTGCCGGGTAAACCCTGTGTCCAGGTCAAGGTTACACCATGACCGAGTAGTTAAACTCGCACGTTCCCGAGTCACATGGCCTGGGTTCGAATCCCAGGTCCGCTCTTTACGAGGTGGGGACCTTGAGCAAGTTGCTTAACTTCCCAGAGCGTCAGCCTCACCTGCACAGCAGGCAGTAATGCAGCAGCCTGGCTGGGTCCCTCTAAGGAGGAAATGAGGCCATGAGCGTTGACTGCTGGCAGAGGGCTGACTGGGTGGGTGGAGAACCATGGCGCACAAGGAATCTAATGCTGTGACCAGAGGGCCAACAACGAAAGTAAAAACACCGACAGTCAATAACGCACTTAGTCCGCGCCCACGACATGGCCAGCGCTTAGCAGGCGCTTTAACTCAAATGCATCGGCAGCAGTGGGGGTGGGGGATGGACTCACCGACCGCTAAGGTCACCTCAGATCTGGTGGCCTGGGCGGGCAGACCAGGCACCAGTGCCAGCCAGCTCTGCCCCGGGGAGCCAGTGCCAGGTGCCAGGTGCATCAAAGGCCAGGTGCTGAGGGCGCTGGGCCGTCCCTAAGACCTGCCCCGCTCTGCCCTCCGGAAGGTGTGGGGAGCAGGCGGCTGCCCCAGCGCCCCTCACACAGGGTCTCTGTGCCAGGCCCCGTGCTGGTATCCATCACTGTGGAAGGCAGTGGCTATACCGGGAACATTTACCGCGACCTGGTGTCGGCCTTCGACGTCCTGCAGCAAGGCAACGTCACGGTCCTGTCACGGCGCTGCGCCCTGCACCCCTCGGAGCCCAACACCACCGGCTATATCGTCATCGGTAACAGCCGCACCCCTGAGCACGGGGTGTGACGTAGGCCCCACGCAGGGCATGAGGGGTGCAGACTGCGGAGGGGGTGTGGCTGGCACCTGCACCCAGCGGCAGTGGCTGCTGTGCCCACTGTGCCCCCAGGCATCATGTACGGCCTATGCTTCTTCGTCACCCTGTTTGGAAGCTATGTCAGCCGGCTGCGGCGGGTCATCTGTGCTTCTTACTACCCATCCCGGGAGCAGGTGAGGGGCCCCAGCCAGTCCCTGTCCCCCTCCCCAGGGGGCGAATCTGGCTGTCTGAATTTTGTGGAGCTTGGAGTCCTTCAGCAGCCCCAGCCCCAAAGCAAATTACCTAGACTGAAGGTCTCCCGACGCCTAGGGGCTGGGAGAAATAGGGCCTCTTGGGGCAAGGATTCCCGAGACAGTACTGTTTTGTGTTTTTTTTTAAAATATATTTTTTATTGATTTCAGAGAGGAAGGGAGAGGGAGAGAGAGATAGAAACATCAATGATGAGAGAGAATCGCTGACCGGCTGCCTTCTGCATGCCCCCTACTGGGGATCGAGCCCACAACTTGGTCATGTGCCCTTGACCGGAATTGAACCTGGGACCCTTCAGTCCACAGGCCGACGCTCTATCCACTGAGCCAAACCAGCCAGGGCCCAAGTATTGCTGAAACGGTGGGGGAAGGGGCGTGTTGGCCTGTTGAGGTGTGAGTGGAAACTCACCACTTGCTCATTCGTTTACGGCTCATTTACTGAGCATCTACTGGGTGCCAGTCCCTGTGCTGGCATCGGGGATGCCAGGGCGAATGGACACAGTCTGGGGCTCCCAGACTCCAGGCAGGCGAGACAGGCTGCTAACAAGACATTACAAGTAAACAAGGGTTCTTATTAAGGAGTGAATACAGTGCTATGGAAACCAGGGGAGGGATGGGCGACTGCCTGGGGGAGCCCAGAGGCTTCCAGAGGAAAGGGCGTTGGAGCCAAACCGAGAGGCACTCATGGGAGTTGGAGGGAAGGCAAAGGGAGGGAGAGGGGGTGGGTGCAGAGGGCGGGCCAGGCAGGTGAAACTGGGTAAAGGGGACCCCATCCCTGACCTGCCTCCGCCAGGAGAGGATCTCCTACCTCTACAACTTACTCCTGAGCCGCCGAACCTCCCTGCTGGCTGCCCTGCACCGGTCAGTGAGGCGGCGGGCAGCGGACCAGGGCCAGCTGAGCCTCCTGCAGGTGCTGGCCAGGCGGTGAGCCCACTGCCCTCCCTATAGGCGCGGGGCAGAGAGGGACAGAACAAAAGCCGGCAGTCCGAACGGACCCTGTCCCCCCTCAGTGTCCGGAGGGTTGGTTGAAGAGGATGCCCACCCCATGCCATTCTCGCACTGAGAGGGAGGATTAGGGATGCACGTCCTTAGAGGTGGGGAGTGAAGGGAGGAGGAGGACAGGAAGCAGGTTGCTGCTACAGCCAGCGGGATGGAGGGTAGATGGCAGGAAGGCCTGCCCTTGGTTCCGGGGGCGGTGCTGGGGGGCACGGCTAGGCTGGAGGGCGGGCTGCTGAGGGTCTGGGACCCCTCTCCTCAGGTGCCTCTGTCTGGCTCCATTGATGAAGCACGTTGGGCAGCAGCAGGCCTACTGCCTGGGCTGTGGGCAGCCCCAGGACGAGGGGGACACGGAGAACTTTGTGTCCTGCAGTACCCCAGCCTGCCGAGGTGAGCTCCTGGGCTCCTGGGCTCGGCGCCTCGCCTGGCGCTGCTGGGACTCGCTACATTTGCATACGACAATCAACTGTGCTCCTTCACTTAGGGACGCCTGTCCCTCACCTTTTATACCGCTCCCTCCATTACCATGCATGTTCTTCTCATTAACACAGAACCCGCAGGTAGCAGCTCACCTTCTCCATGTTTGCCTTAAATCCCCCATGTGGGAGCAGGATTTATATGCAAGAGGCACTACTGCAATTCCCTAGTGTGCGCCGCTGAACAAGGCCTCTCCCTCCCCTCCCCCCGCCCCCCAGTGGTGGGGCAGGGAGGAAGCCAGGAGCAGAGTGGGTGAGGGGTCAACTCACGTTTACCTCCCCTCCTGGCCCCCCCAGGTCTCTTCTGCCCCACCTGCTTCCGCCTCCTGGACAGCACCTGCTCCGTGTGCGCATCTCCCCTCTCCTACCAGGGAGAGCTGGACCTGGAGCTGTGAGTCCCCCGCGCGATGGGCGGCGGGAGCCTGTGGGGCAGTGGGAGCAGCCACCCCTCCCCCAGGACCTCTGTGGGCCACTGACAAGGGAGGCTCCTCCAGGGACTCCAGCGACGAGGAAGGCCCCCGGCTGTGGCTGGCTGCAGCTCGAAGAAAGAACCCCGCGCAGGAGGGGTTACTGCGGCAGCGGCTCCAAGAAGCGCTGGGCAGGACCCTCTCGTCGGGGTCCAGCTCTGAGCTCAGGTGAGCAGGAAGCAGGATTGGGGCCTGGGAGGCCTGAGCGTGTTTACAGATGGCTTCTCGGGTGCCTGGTCCTCTGTTGGAGCTGGAGACAGAGATGAAAAGAGGGGAGGGATGGAGGTTTGCGGAGTGCTTGCTCCGTGTCAGCACCCCGCCCCGGAGGAGCCCACTGAATGGGGGGATGGGGGATGGGGGGGAGTGAATCTAATAGGTAAGTGACAACGGTGTGGACAGCGGCCCATGCAAGGAGTGAAGCAGGCGCTGGGCAGTACAGGGAACAACCCGTCTGGAATCGGGGTGCATTAACGACGGCTTCTGAGAGAGATGAAGGAAGAGGTGGGACTGGGAGCACCTTGGTGGCTTGTTAGGCTGAAGAGCGGAGGAAAGCATTCCGGGGCGGGGGCCTGTGTGAGCCTGGAGACCCTGAGGCACTTGGGAGGGGAGAGCCTAAGGGAGGGCAGGAGCCTGTCTGGGTGGGAACCTCAGGGAATGCTGGGAGATGAGGTGGGAAGTCCAGGTGGGGAGAGACGGGAGAAGGCATGACTTGCCATCGGAAGATTGTTGGTCTGGAAGTGACATGTTCGTAATTTGTCTTTTGGGACAATAAGCTAAGAAGGCAGAGAGGAGGCTGTCTTAGTTCAGGAGAAGTCAGTGGCGGCCTCAGGACTGGGGTGCCAAACGAGACGGGGGTTTATGCCTGGGACTGGGCAGGTGCCAGGGCGAGAGGAGGGGCAGGCCCGGGGTAAGAGGAATGGGCTGTTTGAGACCTTTGTGTGTCTATAGAGAATCCAACTGGAGAGGCCCCGGAGACTGTGGGAAAAGGGCCGGCCTCAGGGCCACAGGGGCATTTTGGGGGGTGTTGACTCTAAGAAGGATAAGCTAGACCAGTGGTCGGCAAACTGCGGCTCGCGAGCCACATGCGGCTCTTTGGCCCCTTGAGTGTGGCTCTTCCACAAAATACCGACTTCTGCGCATGGGCCACGAAGTTTCAATCACACTGTATGTGCGTGCCCGCACGTGGTATTTTGTGGAAGAGCCACATTCAAGGGGCCAAAGAGCCGCATGTGGCTCGTGAGCCGCAGTTTGCCAACCACTGAGATAGACCATCCTGGCAGAGGCCATGGCAGGAGAGGAGAAGGGGACAGGGACAGAACCCCAAGGGGCTCAATCACAAACCAAGGAGGAGAAAGGCTCAAGAATATAAGAACCAAGCACATCAAATGCTGAGATGGTCACGTAGGATGAGGACTGGAGACCGGCCATGGAACTTGGTGATTGAAGGATCATTGGAGTGGCTGGTGGAAACATTTTTAATGGCCCCAGGAAGACCCAAACCGGATCATAGTGAGTTGAGGGGTGACTGGTATAGAAGACTCAGGCACAGGGTTCAAGGCCTCGCACCATTGTTGCAAGAAGTTTTTGAATTCTTTTTAAAAATATCACTGCTGTAGTTTAAAAAGGGAAGCTTGATGGTGAAGCGAGGGGAGTCGGCTTCACACGGTGAAAGAGTAGCTTGAAGGGGACCCACACTACAGTCTTCTTTCTCCAAGGATAGGGAGACCTGCATATTTAGGAGGTAAAAAGGAGCGTGAAGGGATAGAGCTGCCGGAGGTGGAATGGGGTGGCCTCGGATAGGCTGTGCCCTGGTGGCCTGGCTTTTCTCTGGGGAGTAGGAGGCAAGGGTGCCTGCTGAGAGCCAAGGAGTGGAATCGAGGTTTTAAGGTGGTGGAGGGTGAAATACCTGCCTACGGGAGTGTGCAAAGAAGCTGAGAGGGGAGGTTAAGGGACTTCCAGGCAGCATTCGAGGCCCAGATGACTGACCTGTGTGCTCTGGTTGTGGTTTTTTGTTTTTTAACTTATTGATTGATTTGAGAGAGAGTGCATGCAAGAGAGAGAGAGAGAGAGAGAGAGAGAGAGAGAGAGAGAGAGAGAGAGAGAGAAACATCAATCTGCTGTTCCACTTATTTACGCATTCACTGGTGGATTCTTGTGTTTGCCCTGAGCAGGGATCGACCCCGCAACCTTGATGCATCAGGATGACACTATCACACCGAGCTCCCGGGTCAGGGAGGTTTTGTGGGTTCCCCCCGGCACATGTGGTAGTCATGCACAGGATCCAAGGGCTTTTTCTGGGCGGGTCAGGGGAAGTACTAGATGGGGAGAGAATTCAGGCCTCTTCAGTGTCTGAGATGACTGGCCTGGGGGAAGAGGAGGGCCTGGGACCTCAGGGGGAAGTCCAGGGTCTAAGTCAGGATGCGTTAGAGCAGGGACAGTGGCCAGGAGGGACAGAGAGAATGAGCCGTAGCTAGGGAAGAAATCGGGGATCGTTCCAGCGAGTGGCCAACGTTAAGGGGGATGCCTGCGTGGGAGCAGAGGGGAAGGTCATTAGGACAAGGATTGAAAGGCCAGAGTTGGATGAGTCCTCCAATGAGGAGGCTGCTGGGCCACACGCCTGAGACAGGACCCTGGAAAGGTGTGGCAGAACACCTGGGAGGCCTGGGGAGACAGCCAAGGTCCAGTGGTGTGGCTGCCATGGCAACCAGGAACGCCATTGGCCAGCGGGATTTGAGAGGCCAGCAGCCTCCACTGGGGAGGAATGTCCAGCGGGCATGTTCTGTGTGAAGGGGGCTGGGAGCCGTGTGGAGAGGAGAGGTTGAAGGGGAAGAGAAGTTCAGGGAATATAAAAGCTGAGTCACCTGAGCAGGTATTATCACCAAGTCCTTCCTGGTTCTGGCCTCACTAGACATGTGACCTTGGGCAAGTCACTGCCCGCTGGTCTGTCATCAGCCTGAAGTCAGATGTCCACAGCCCTGGGCTGATGTGCCTGGGGGCCTGGTGCCTAACAAGAGGCCCATCTGAACAGATGGGACAGGGACAGGAATGAACCTGTGAGAATGTTGGTGACCGACGGGGCCCCTCCTTGCCTCACTAGTGACCTGGATGAGAAGGGACCTTGACGGAGGCCGCACAGGCCGCAGCCCCCCGCCTGCGGCCCCATCGCCAGCATTCCCCAGCCCTCAGCCCCAGCGACCCCCTCCGAGGTCCTGTCTCCACAGCAGCCACTCCCCAGCGTTGGAGCCCCCGGCTCTGCCTCTCCACCCCGTCACCTCCTGACCCTCCCACCTGCCCCCAAATAAAGGAACCAAAGGTGGACGATGTGAATCTTAAATTATTATTATTTCTTCCTGTCACTTTTACACCAGAGGTGGGGGGTACGGGGAGGGGAAGGGAACAAGAGAGGGGGGTTGCCTCCCCCCCTAAGGCACTGAGTGGAGAAGCAGCAAGGAAGGAGGGTGGAGGCCACACTGTCCTCACTCCCGAGGGATGGGCCCCAGGTCTCCCCAACCTTGGGCTCCCCTATCACCTGAAATGCTAAGATGAGGCCCAGAGCAACCCGACCTCCCCCTACCCCAATATATTACAACATTACTTTTTAAATAGATTCAGGGACTGGTCCCACTACCCTCCTCCCCGTGACCCTCCCCCCCACGACTGGGGGTACCTGGGCAGCTGTGCAAATGGGCATAGGGGTGCATGGGAGGGAGAGCACCCGGCCCCTGAACCTGCCCCTTTTAAGGAGGGGGAGGGGCCGCGAGGTGGGGGGTGGGGGTTATAGTGCAAGGCAGAGCCCAGGCCACAACGGGGGGTCCAGCACCCAGCGAGGAAGGGGAAGGGGGCGGAATTGGGTCGTTAAAAATCTGAAACTAGATCTGGACAAGACCAACAGAAGAGGCTATGTACAGAAGGGGGCGGGTTCGACCTCAGCAGAGCCCGGCTGGCAAGGTTCGGGGACATGGACTCCTTCCCCGCTCCCGGGGCCCAGCGAGAAGCTCTCTGCGGGCCTCCATGAAGGGGACCGGCTCCCCAGCCGCGGGTGGAGGTGACGGCGGCCAAGTGGCCGCTGGGGGCGCCCGCCCGCGAGGGGCGCGGCCGCCAGGTGGCGCCGGCGAGCCCGCTCTCCGCCCGGCTCCCCAGCCCCTCGCCGGCCCACACCCAGCGCCGCGCCAGCCCGGGGGCGGCGTGAGTCAGGGGCGGCAGCGGCCCGCACCTGGGCGGGGAGGAGGCGGGGAGGAGCAGAGGGTAGGACACAGCCCGGCCCGCCCTGCCCTCTGGCCCCGGGGAGGGAGCGGCGGGAACAAGACATTCCCTGCCCGGGGACGCGGGAGGGGAGGGGAGGACTGAGCAGAACTGCGGAGCAGCACCCCTGGCTGGGCGGGGCCCCTCCCGCTGCCCCCAGGGGCAGGCGAGCCAATCGGGCCACCCCGCCTCCTGCTTCTCCAGGACCCCATGACTCAGCGCTGGGAGCTGGGCGGAGGGGGACTGGGATGGCTCCTTCCTTACAGGCCCAGGCCCCCCCCCGCCCCCGGTCGGTCATTCAAGCTTCTACCTTGCTTTCCCCCACCTACCCTGCTTTTGCCGCCCCCCCTTGCACCGCCAGGAAAAGGGAACAGAAACCAGGAAGGAGGGGTCTAGGAAGGGAGGGGCTGTCCTTCACCCCCTGACACAGCCAAAGCCCCAAGGGGCATGGGGGCAGGGCAAGGCTTTGGTCCCAAGCCCCGGACCCCCTAGAAACCCGCATAGCCGAAGAGGGACCCCACAAATCAGAAATACATTATTGCTTCTACTCCCCAGGCACAGCTGGAGACAGGGACCCCACCTTTACAAGAGAGCTGTAAGTATATACATAAGATCATCTGGATCACTCCTTGGGAGACCACCCCAATCTGGGGAGCCTTCGCCCCAAAACCTTCTCAGCTTGGAACTGGAATCAGGGCTCTGGGGAGAAGGGGATGATTTCTGACGCCAGGGCGGTTCGGTGCTCTGACCCCAGCTCTGTCTGTCCTGCAGGCTCCCACTGCTTGGCATGGGTGGCCCCGTGTGTGCTGCTCCAGCCGGCCGCCCCTCCCTCTTTAAGAGGACTCCATGGCACCTTCGGCCTGCGGAGTGGTGGGTGTCCCCTCCTCCTCCTCGTCATCAGGGGGCCCTGGAGTGGAGACAGGGGGCCCGGTGGGGGCCGACTGCTCCCAGAATCGAGACAGAGAGAGGCGGAAGGTGTCCAAGTGGCCGTTGGAGAGGTCGAGGCCCGCAGGGGACGGCGTGGCGGCCGAGGGCGGTGGGTAGTGGGGCGGTGCATCGTCCTTGCGGCGCCGCCGGGTGCGCACCTCCAGGCAGTTCTGGCCCTTGAGGTGGCGCTGCAGGTGGTCCTCCTTGGCGAAAGCCTTGTGGCACAGGTGGCACTCGTAGGGCCGGTCCCCTGTGTGCAGGTGCATGTGGTTCTTGAGGTCGTAGCTGTGCAGGAAGCGGGCTGGGCAGTGCGGGCACGAGTAGGGGCGCTCCCCAGTGTGCTTCCGCATGTGGATCTTCAACTTGTCATTCCTGGCACAGGCAGGAGCGAGGAGAAAGGGGGGATGTTCAGGGTGGGGTCCTGGCCAGATTCCCAGACCCTGTCCCACTCCCAGCCCTCACCATTTGCTCCCCCATTATTGCCCCAGCATCCCCTTGCTGACTTCGTCTCAGCTTGGCTGGGCCCAGCCACCTCCTCTTTCATGCCCCACACCCATCCCTCTTGACTGGTCTTCCTATTCCGGCCTCTCTCCTCATTCTGGTCACCCCCACCCCGACCCCCACCTCCACCCCGACCCTCCAGGATCACCCACTTCCCCACTTCAGGGGTCAGGACTCCTTTCTCCCGCCCCCATGGCATGGCCCCCTGCTGCACCCTCGCCCCACAGATGCTCACCGGGTGAAACGGACGCCGCAGACTTCACAGGCAAAGGGCTTCTCGCCCGTGTGGGTCCTCATGTGGCGTGGCAGTTTGCCTGCCCCGTGGATGATCTTGTGGCAGACGGGGCACTCCTGGGGCATCTGGGAGCGGCGCTTGCGCACGCCCAGTTTGTCTTGGCCATCCAGGCCTGGTGCCAGGGCATCCTGGTGCAGGGAGCTGAGGTAGGCCATCAGGTCGGGATCGATGGCATCCTCGTCCGAGCCCAGCTCCTCTGGGGAGAGCGGGGGCCCCCCGACCTGTGCCAGCCTGTAGGTCGGGGGGTACACCAGCTCCTCCTCCTCTTCCTCTCCTTCGAAGGGCTCATAGTTCAGGGGCCCCTCCGGGGGTGAGGCAGTCCCTGTGGGAGGACTGTAACTGTCCCCCAGCCCACTGCCCCCACTGCTGCCCACTCTGCCAGCCACCTCCTCCTCCTCATAGGTCAACGGATGGGTGGGTACTGCGGGCACCTCAGGTACTAGGTGGTTCGCCCGGGTCCCCTTGGTCTGCAGGAAAGCTTTGCGGGGCTTGCGGCTACGGCGGGCGACAGGCCGAGGGGGCGGTGGTGGCGGCGCCTGTGGAGGGCTGTCTCCACCATTGGGAACTCCCGAGGCCGAGGCCGTGGCCGTGGCAAAGGCCTCCAGGTACTGGCGGGCTCGCTCGCAGTCGTCCTGGTCCGGGCTCGGAGCTTCTAGCCCGCTGCCCTGCAGGATCTCCATGCAGGCGGCGATGACACAGGGGATCTCCAGCAGCTGGGCGGCCTGCAGCACGGCCGGCATGTTGGCGCTGCTGGTGGTCAGTGTGGCGGTATAGGCAAACTCGAGCAGGGCTCCCAGAGCCTCGGGCCCCACGAAGTCCAGCTCGCACACACCTGCCCCTGCTCCCCCCCACGGCTGTCCCGCCGCCACCCCCAGCCCCCATGACGGCGCCACCGCCCTCGGTGAAGAGCTTCTTGAAGTAGTGGCTGCAGGCAGCCAGCACGGCGCGGTGGGTGCGGTACTCAAGGCCCTGCGTCCGGATGGTGAGGTCGCACAGGTGGCCCAGCTGGCGCTGCTCGTTGAGGCAGCTCAGGAGCTCACTGCTGTGGTCGGGGAACGGGATCCCAATGAGGTCGTCCTCGGGGCTCCCCATCTTCTCCTGCAGGGTCAAGGAGAGGGCAGGTTAAGAGCGCTCAGCCCTGCCGGGGGACCCCGGGAAGGAGACCCAACACCAGCCAAGGCTTATTGGCAGGTACTATGTGCCAGATACCCTCCCACCATCCCTGGAGGGACAATGGTCCATTTCACAGACAAGGAAACTGAGGCACAGGCAGGGGAAGTGACTTCCCAGGTGAAGCAGGACAAGGGTTCAAGCAGAGGCGGAGGGCCCGGAGTCTGTTGCTCACGGTTCAGCCTCTGCGGGAGCAGCGGCCTGACTTTCGGGCCCCTGCCTGGGACCCCTCCGCGTCGCCTGCCCCACTCCCCAGCCCCGGGTGCGAGAGAGGGGGCCTGGGGCCTGATTCGGGCTTCATGAAGAAGTGGCTGAAGGACGCTGCGTGGCTGTGGCGCCGGCCTCAGTCATCTGAAAAGTGTGATGGAGCCTTTCAGCAGCCTGGAGAGGTTCACATTGGACCAAGGTCTGCTGGAGGCCCGTCAGTTGTTTTAACTGGTTATCTCCCTGAAGCAGGAGTGGGGAACCTTTTTTGGATATTTGTAACATCATTTGGATGTTTGTAACATCATTCTCAGGGCCACACAAAATGATCAACTTAAAAAGTAGCCTGCTATCTTTGGTCAAACATTTAATTAACTCACCCCTCGTGCCTTGGCAGGGTCAGACCCACCGATTTTGCAGGCCTTATGCGGCCCTAAAGCATCTGGTGCACAGTGAAGCACTAGGCACACGGGACAGGCCTCTTCCCAACACCCTCCTCCTCCTCCCCTCCCCCTCCACTAAAAATGCATCTCCCCTTCTATGTCCCCTCTTCTAAAGGCCAAAAGGAAAACAGCTCCCAGCATCCCGTGCCCCCCCCCCCACACACACACACACATCCTTCCCTCCCCCATGGGGCCAAGGAGCAGCAGTGCTTTGCTGGGGTGTCGCTGGCTCCTGCGCTTCCTGCCCCGCAGATAAGCATCGTCCCCGCCCCTCCCCCACTGCCAATAGGCCAAGTTCCAGTCCCACCTCTCTCCACCTCTGCTACCACCACCACCACCACCACCACCTCTCCCTCTCCATCTGGCCGGTCAGCAGAGCCTCCCCCCATCTAGAGGGCCATCTCCCAACCTCTAGGCTTTCCCCCACCAGGCACGGCCACAGAAGACAGAGTCAGCTGCCAGCAATCCCAAGGCTGGGGCAGGTAGGGGAACGGGTGGTGGAGGGAGTCTGGCCTGGAAGTGTGGAGATCTGCTTCAGGTCTTGGCTCCGCTACTGGCTGCGGAATGAGCTTGGGCAAGTCATTTCTCCCCGCGCCGCGTTAATCTCCTTAGCTCTACCGGGAGGGGATGGGAGGGGGAGCCCTGAGGGCTCAGACCTTCAGCCCTGACGTTGGGTGGATCTGGAGCCACTGAAGACAGAGTTGGGGCCTGGAAAGAGCTGGGCTCTGGAGTCAGCCAGGCTTGAGTTTGAATCCTCACTGCGCACTGATTAGCTCTGTGACCTTCAACAAGTGATTTCATCTCTGAATCTCCTTCCTCTCTATAATGTGACTCCTAGGATGGTGCCGACCAAGTGTGGCGCAGTGCCTGACACAGCAGGGGCTCAATAAAGGCTCTGGCCTTGGGAGGGAGCAGCCAGGCCTCGCCTGAGGGCAGATTCCACTGCGCAGACGGCCTCGCTGGGAAAGCTCCTTGGAGACAGGTCTGGCTCCCTCCCTCAGTCACCCCCAGGGAGTCAAGTTACTACCAGCGACATGACCTTGGACAAGTCACTTCCCTTCCCGGGGAGGCCTGCTTCCTGGGCTGCATGAAGGACTTGCCTAGATGATCTTTTTCCTATGTCACTCCCAATAGCTGCTCAGCCCGGGCCAGGGATGGGGAAAGGTGTTTGGGGGGGAGGAGTTGGTGGAGTCAAGGGCCACACGTTTCCTCTTTAAGACATAAGAACTGCATTGTCTGTGCCTGCCTCCCTGCCTGGCACCTCCATGGCGATGCCAAAACTGCGCCGAAGCTTTGAGTGGGTAGCACCCACGTGCCTATCTTGGCGCCTAAGCCACACCTAAGTGGCCTTAGAACAGTCCACCCATTCCCACCCTAAATCCCCAAACCGCGTGGGAGCTCTCCCAGTTCCCTTGGGCTCTCCTGCCTGAACATGACAAACAGTACAAGTGACGAATGGCTCCCGGACTCAGGAACAAACAAAACCCAGTGGGCAGAAGCAGCCGCGGCCACTTAAGCAGTAGTGGCCACCCTCCTGGGCCCAAGCAGATCCTGTCCTTCCAGAGGGGGATGGGTGTGGCTGTCCTCCTTGTCCATTGGCCGGGAGCTGGACACCCACAGGCACGTGGCTCATCCCATCCCTCTCCCTCCCTCCCTCCCACCCCACCCCACCCATTCCTGCTGCTAAGGAAGCCCGCCTCCTTTCTCCCACCCCAAGGCCAGTCGCCGTGGCAGCTCGGTGTGGCGGGGGCATTGACTGGCTGACCCTGCTGTCTGGTCAGAAGCTCAGGCTGGTACACTGTACAGTTCGCACCAGGCGTGGGCAAGGGTGGGTATTTAACCCCTTAGGTCCAACTCCAATGCCTATGCCACCAGGTAGCAATGAAGGAGGGAAGAGGCAGAGGACACAAGACACACGTGGGAAGGGCAGGTATTCATATGGTTCTCGAGCTTCTGGGAAACTCCCCCAGTCCTTACCCAGGGCTCTGGCATCCATGCCAACTTAGGTGCCACCTGGAACTATGCTGGTGCCAACCAGGCCAAGGGGGCACTCCTAGCCCCATCATCTGGGAGGGGTAGATGGGGTGGAGGCCTCCCCCTTCTTTCTGCCAGGGTGGGGCACTGGTGCCAGGATGCCCACCCCACCTTGGGCACCCTTCCCACCTCTGCATCCCAGAGGGCCCAGCCCCCTGACGCCCCAAGAGGGCGGCCCATCCCCACCCAGCCTGGCATGCCCCCTCTTGCTAAGACCTTGTGGGCATGGGCGTGTGGTGGTTGGGGGGGCAGCTGTGCCAGGGAACCAGGCGAGGTCTGTTTGGTCTGTTTGCCTGGTAGGGGGAAGAACTGGGGGCCCCGCCCCATCACTCCCCCCTTTCCTGCCACCCCCCGAGGCTCCCCTCACTGTCAGGCCTGCTAGACCGGCCAAGCCAGTGGGCAGCTCTCTTGAAACTGGGCCCTGAGTCAAGCCTGCCCCATCATTGGTGGGGGGAAGACTTTGGGGCAAGAAAGGTAGGAACCCCTATCGCCTACCCCTCAGTGCCCAGGGGCAGCTGCCAGGGCGCGTCCACTACCAAGAACCACGAGGTAGAGAGAGGGCAGTGGAAAGGAAAGGGCTTGGGAAGGAAAGGAGGCCAGAGCTCTTTCCAGGGCCGACCTCGGGCAGTGGCCAGTGCAGGGATGGGGGCACCAGGGCCAGGACTGCTGGCTCGCACAGCTGAAGAGCTGGGATACGAGGCCCTGAACAGGGCAGCTGAGTAAAGCTGGCCCCCCTTCCCCGCACCCTGGGGATTAGGGGAGTGAGGCTTAGTGTGGGGGGCAGCAGGCGGAACCAGGATTAGCAGTGGAGAAAATAGATATGGGCCCGAGACACAGGCACACAGAGCCCCCCCTCCGCGGGCTCCCAGGCCCCCACCTCCCTGCTCTGCCAGGGAGCCCAAGGAGCCTGGTCAGCCTCTCCAGGTGCAGCGGCCGGGGGCGAGGGCGGAGGAGGACCAGGCTGTGACGCCCTCCTGTCGGGGTGATGGGGAGACCTACGGCTCTTCCCGGGGCCTTGGCACCTTGGCCGCGCCCCCCCCCCACTTCTTTCTCCTTGCAATCCCTCAACTCCCACCCCAACTCCAGCCTCGGGTTCTCTTCCTGTTTTTTTTCTTTTTTTTTTCTTTTTTGGAACTAAGTTTGCACGAAGCCAAGGGCTTTGGCCTGTGGCTGGACCAGAGGGTTGGGGAAATAGGACAGCCAGTCCAAAGTCCTCAGGGACCCAGGAATCCTAGTTTCCCCAGCGTCTCCCACCCCCTCCCAGGGCCTCTGGGGCCCAGGGCTGAAGCCATCTGGACCGCCTAGTTGGGAAGGCAGGGTGAGGGACGGAGGTGAGCCCCCGACGGGTTCGAAGGGCTTCGCCCAGGGATGCCCAAGGCATGTCTGGAGCCCTTCTTTCGCCACCCCAGCCCCTCCAAAGCGAGTGCAAGACTTCCCCATCCCCCATACGCTGCTTCCCCCTCCTAACCTCACCACCCCCAGCACTCACACTTCCTGGGGGCCTAGGCGGGGAAGGGAGACCGCAAGCCACGCCACGAAGGGGAAGGAGGCAAGGGGAGCCGGCTTCCCGGTGCTGTTGGGGCTAAGCTTCTCCTCCCTCAAAATCCCCAATTCCTGGGGCTTCAACTCCTGTCTCGACGGAGACCTCAGTGTTCCCTCCCATTTTCTTTTCCGTGACACCAGCCCTCGCCCACCGCCTCTCCGCCCGCATCAGGGTACTACGAGGAAGATAAAAGATGGTGGAGGGAGGGATGGGGGTACCTCCCTCTTCCCCAGCCTTCCCCACTTTATCTTGGGGGACCCCTGCCCATCAGCCACTCTCCACTCGGCCCCTTTTCTTGGCTTCCTGTTCTGTCCCCTTCGTGCCTTCTCCGACCCTTGTCCTCTCTCCGCGACGCATTCTCCCGTCGTCCCCCCGGCTCCGGCCTCCACTGCCTCCGCTGAGTCTGGAGGCCTCGCCCTTCCCCTCCCAGTTCTCTCTCCCAGGTCTCTCCCACTTTCTCTATTTCGCCCTATCCAAGGATCCCTCCCCTTCTCCCCAGGCAGCCTCAGCAGAGAGAGGGACAGAGGAACCCAATCAAGGCCTGGTCTTGCCCCGGGATGGCCGCGTTAGGGCACCCATGCCTCCCTTCTGGATGAAGCACAGAACCAAAATCGGGGGCCAGTTGGGGAGCATGGGTGGGGGTTACAGTGAAAGCGGATGTGGGGGGCGGGTAGGACAACCTAGGCTTCTCTGCCCGTCAGAGT